TGGAGCCAAATAGATGTTGCTGGTGTCTGGCAGGTGCTGAATAGCTGTGGCCAAGGAATGGCTGATCATAGCCTTGTGCAGTCAGCGAGGAAGAAGAACAAGGACATGGATCTAATGATGGACCTGTAATCGTTTGGATTTTGGTAGGATCTGTGTAGCTGGGTCAGGGTAAGTACGGGTTCAAAGCATTTTGTGGACACGAAATGAATTTTGTATGAATGTGGTGCCTTGTTTACGCCGTGCTCTTATTCTCACGGTTCAGTGGCAAATTAGTAAGTTCGTATAAACGTAAAGTGTTGTGTACTGTATGTGTGCTTATTGTATGTTTATTGCCCTCATATTGGCAGCGTCAAGTACTTATATTGTTTGTGTATTGGTATATTATTGTCTCATATTGGAATCGTAGAGTACTTATATTGTTGTTTTATTGTTTTTGTATTGCTACTGTATTGTGTCATATTGTGATCGTAGGGTAGGTATATTGTGCTTGTATTGATGCTTTATTGATTGGCATCATAGCATATAGCTTTTCCAATTGAGTAATGGTAAAGAGGGACTGTAGCAAAGGTCGTAACGATGGCGGGTTTAGGAAAGTTTGGTGGTTCTGAAGCACGAAAATATCCATGGAAAGATCGGAAAGATATCGATTCCATACAAACCACGGACAGTATACATACATGCAAATTTTTACGTGGAACAAAAAGACACTTATGAAAGGAAGAATTAAATACGAAATAAAAAAAGGAGGGTGTTCATTTAAGTAAACAAGCAACAATTTGAAGGGATAGTAATTTCAGTACTTATAATGAACCTTCGAATTAAAGAAGCAATAACATGAAATGGATTAAAAAAGGTTTGTAATGAATGACATCAAGTAATGAAATAATTGAGCAACAATATAGAACACTAAGTAAATAATTTTCATTTTGCAAAACAGGTTCGAACACTTATAAATACCAGAGTCCATAGTCAGTAATCAAAAAGCGATGACTGGCGTTGTGGTTAAGTACCTCAGAACCTAGAAGGGGGGAAGGGTTTCATCCTCTGTGTGTGTGACTTCAAGTGAATAATGCTTTTGTATTTAAAGTTCACATCACAATAGATCGCGATATTATAGATAATATCGCGATCTGTTGACCAGCAAGAACGGCATGTATACTTTCCCCACAAATTCTCTATATATTCTGTTCTGTGGCGATGAGAAGAATGAGCAATCATGAAGTACTACCAGTATCACAGTAATTGCGTAAGCTTTGCATTTGAAGGAGTTTTATGTACGAGATGCAATTGTAGTTAGCCTTGTAGGCGCTTTCATTTTGGACGCAACAAAAGGACAGCAGCATGATGATAGTGTGAATATACAATCACAATAGGAAAGGAAAGCAATTTATGAGAATTTGACTACAATCACAATAGAGAACACCAAATCAAATTCAATTCAATTTCAAATGAAAGGTACATAACAAATGAACAGAAATGCTAATCTGAAACACACATTGGCCAGTAGAACATTGTTAATTTACGGCTGGTTTCACTGTGGTGATGGCACTGTATGTTCACCAATTTCTACTAATAATAGGCTGTCATTGCAAAGGACTTGTTACCTTGTTCCATATGCTTCACATGACCGTTGAGTGGACCGACTTCCATCCCTGCAGCATCACCGAAGCTATTCATCAACTTCGCAGTTGACCAAAACAGAGGTAGAAACTAAACAAGTGTAACATCTACGCAACGTGCTGCTTGTTGGTGAGAGGGACAGATTGTTTGCATGTACTTCGGTAGTGGCCCTTCACACCACACCTTGAGCATTTTTTTTGACGGGACTCCTCTCCTCTCGAAGCTATTCTTTGCGTTTTGCGACGGCCCGGCATAACATTACAAAGAGGAGGGAGGATTTTGACCTTCTTCACATTTTGGGGAATAACCCATGTGCCTTCAGGTGGTACAGGATAAATAGATTCAGCATATGCAGCTGCCCATGTAGCTCGTGTATAATAAGAAGAGGCAAAGGAGTAGGGGTTCAATTTCAAGTGCCGACATACCGCAATAGCGTGCTTGCACGGGAGTTGCTCCAAGTCAAACTTCCTGCATGTACAACTACGGTTTTGCAAGTGCACCAGACCGTTCAAATCACCATCCAGAACATTATACTCGACGTCATTGATTTTTACCACATTCATCCTTGACGCAGCGTCTAACCTCTTCCTTAACTTAATTTCCCCTAAATCAGGGCACAACGTAGAATGAGATTTCATTGCTAACTCTCGACGTTGCCTAAACCAACAGACAAGTAGATTTGTAATTTCGTCAATCAAGTGTAGCACCGGAAGCATCCTTGCAAACCGAAGAACTGAATTAATGGACTCCACAATATTCGTTGTCATCACATTATATCGTCGTCCATCACAATGGGCCCGAGACCACTTCTGGATGCCTGCACGTAGTAAATAAGTTCGCACTCGGTCATTGTTTATCCTGGAAAAGTGACGATTGAACTCCGCTAGACGATAAGACTTAGCTGCCCTTACAAAATACCCCAATATCGGATCCCGCTGCTTCAACTTAAATGAGGCTTTGATATTGCCTTTCAAGTGATAAAAGCAAATACCATGGCTTGCCCCAGGAAAAACTCTACGCAACCCATTCTGTATGCTAACATTGCGATCTGATATGACAACGAGATTCGAGCAATCACCAATTGCACAATGTAGTTTTCTCAAAAACCACTCCCAAGCTGCATCCGTCTCCAAATCTCCAATCCCAAAGGCAACAGGATATATGTTCCGATTTCCATCAAATGCGGTCGCAACAAACAAAACACCTCTATACTTGCACTTCAAATGAGTAGCATCAACAGCAATCACGGGCCGCATTGACGACTTAAATCCTCGTATGCATGCACCAATTGCCATAAAAAAATATAAGAAGTGATCAGCTGCATCAGTCTCAATGTATGTCAAAGTTCCCGGATTTGTACGCTCCAATTCATAACAATAGGAAGGGAGAAGGGAATACGACTCTTCTGCAGACCCTCTAATTCTTTTGAAAGCTAACTCTCGGCTTCTCCACGCTGTAGAGTAGCTTATGCTCACACCGAAATTTTGTTTCACATCTTTCTTGATATCAGCTGCTGTATAAATGCTGCGCGAATCCTGAAATCTCCCCTTAACACAGTCAGACAGCAGTTCAGTCGTAGCTTGAGGATGATGACTACTTATATACGTTATATCACATTCATGAAGTGGATCGTATTTAACAACCTTAAACTCATGTAATCCAACTTTATATGCCCGAACTTTCCAAGGGCAAGGAAGCTGCCAACAGCGAACACACAACCGATGCTTCCCAGATTGGACAGTTCTCAATCGAAAGTGGCCTGTAATAGCTGCTAAACTGATGGTTTTTAAAAGGGCAATCTTATTTGGATAAACTCGGCCAACCTTCAAATTTGCTTCCCAATTTATGCACGAAACGCCTCCACCATACTGAATATATTCCAAACTCTGACCATGCTTCAAATCACCCCGACTTGTATGCATTTCAGTCGAACTTGATTGTCGGGGAGGTTCGGATTGCACCTGTCTACACTGCACAGTGGACGGTTCGACATTGCTGTCCTCATGAGGATGCAGAATCGGAGCAGACTGCGGTTCCTCTTCGTTGCTAGGTTCATTGAAATCAGCAACTATGTTTTCACCACTTTCAAAATTCACTTCTTCAACCCAATCACTCCAATTAAAATCATTCCCACCATTTTCAGTTTCATTGTCCCGAATTACCACATTTCTTTGTTCCACAACAAAGTCAGCAGGAGCATTGCTACTCTCAACGCTTACAATGCCATTGCACCCTTCAATACCATGACCTTCAATATTTTCAAGCTTGCTACTAAAGGGGTTACTTTAGAGGCCATAACATCTGTGTTGTACTTTACAAAATATTTAACATCATCATTGTCTTCAACCCTTATATGCTTACAGACAGATGAGGATACAGGAACTGAATATTTCAGTGTGACAATATATTTCGTGGGATCTGCATCCATGATCTTATAAATGCGCTGAACAAGGTCGGAAAACGTTACATTCCGTGACACTATTATGCCTTTAGCCTCCCCACCTTCGTAACTCTCAATGTTATCCTTCTTAACCCAACTTCCATTGTAGCATACCAATATTCCAACAGTATCCATTTCTGCAAATAACATACATAATTACTACAGCAATGAATAAAACTAAAAAAGATACATTCAAACAAATAAAAACATACCACTACACGTATCATTTTATAAATCTTCCAAACTCAAATTCTAGCTGCTTCAACAAGGAACTTTTATTCATTTATGTCTTTTCTCTGATTTTGTACATAGCTGTGGGTTCCAAGTTATTCACAAACTCACATAAACATACCATGGCAGCAATATGAACCCTCTAACCTCTAAGGGTTTTCAACAAATGTAAACTACTTCAACAAAAGGCTCAGGTTGTGATACAGAACATATTATGTGGTATAAGCTCAATTACCAAATTGGAAACCAAAACACACAAACTTTACTTCTTACCAAAACAAACCCAGAATGCCAATAAATTCCCCACATTAGCATATACATTCAGCCTAAAAATACCCTAACAAACCTACTTTTAGGCCAGACAAAGTTAACATATGATTTTTCTGTGTGCTGTTATTTTGCCCATTATCAAACACATTGCACTACATTATACAAGCATTCCGTCAATTTTAACCAAAATTCAAGTTTACCACATACATCCCACTGCAGATAATAACACAAACTATGAATTTCAACATATCATAACGCCTTGAAACTGAAAATTTAAGCTCTTCTGCCCTTCTGTGGTGAAAAGGGGATGCACGATTTTATAATACACATACACTACCAAACCAATATCTGAACTCACCTCCGTTCACAACGACGCCGGAAGTCGCCACTTTCGCTTCTCCGTGGAGTCGCAACAGTCACTTCGATCTGGAGGTCAACAATGGAGGCGGTGCGTTCCGCCGGCTTCGCTACGGTCAAACTAGGGTTCGAAAGTTTAGGACATCTGGGTTGTGACTATGGATGGGTTGCGAACTGGATTGCTCAGTGCCAAAATGTCTCGCAACCTAGAGTTCACCCATTTTTGCCAAACTGCGAAAACAGAGAACAAAGAGCCGCTATGCCAAACTGCGAAAACACAGAAGAAAGAGGCGCTAAAGGGTTGATACATCTGCTTTTATATGGAGGGCACTTCGGTCATTTCACGTCCCCAAGTGATTATATTAGAATACAATTTGTAGCCTGATTATTTCAGCACACTATTTCTAAAAGCTGATTACACCAGCATATTTCCCAAAAAAATTTCGGTCCTTTGTGAAAATTTCAGATTCCCCCTTCCCTCAAAAAATTTCCCTCTTCTCTCTCTCTCTCGATACCCACAGAGATGACAGTGACTGAGCTCCCATCTTCTCACCTTCAAACTCCCTCTCTTCTCTCTCGTGATACCCCATTCACCCTATTCCCTCTCTCACTATACCCAGTCACCGGCACTTTCTCATCCAGTCACTCTGTCTGCCTCCTCTTCGTTTTCAGATCTGTGCTCTTCGGTCGTCGCCTTCACTCCTCTCGACGCTTCTTCTTCAGCTAGGGTTCGTAACTCCGATCCTTTACCGGTACGTGCTTGCTTTTGTGTTTTAATTGCTCTATCTGTTTTTAGGGCTCTGAGATTGCTCATGTTCCCTGTGTTATGAATTACTTTCTATTTTCGAAATTTTAGTAAAGTTAAAGTCATAGTTTGGCAAATCTATACACGGCATTTTTTGATTTGGGTAATTTGTTATACATAGAATTTTTAAGTTTAGGGTTTGATTATTCTTCATCTGAGTTTGTGAAATTAGAGACTGTGTTGAGAAGAATAATTCTTGGTTGTTATTGATAGAGCCAAAAGGCTAAGTATTTATGGAGATATTACAAGCTTAACTAGGAAAACTAGGTTACTTGGAGACTACTCCAAATCAATTACAATCAACTAATAAAAGGAAACTAAATAACAATTTAATAACGTTCCTAATTTCCAACACTCCCCCTCAAGTTGGAGGGTGGATATCAAGAACGTCCAACTTGCACAAGAGATTGTGAAAGGTGTTACTCCCAAAGTTGCTGATAAAGAGGCAGTGGTGTCACTGCTGTAAAAGGGGCAGCTGTGTCGCTGCTGTAATGGAGGCAAATGGGACAGCGGTGTGCTGCTGTAAAGGGGTGTTGCTCCTCTCAAATCCGACGATGTATGAGTCGTGAGTTGAAGGAAGCAGCACCCAAATAAAGTTGTGCTGATGTTCAGCGCATGTTGCATGTATGGAGGCTGTTGTTGATGTTGCTGATGTGCAACGATGGTGATTTTGTTGCTAATGTGCAACAAATGTTGTTGATGATGCCTTATCTTGAGGCTGAATAATGATGCTGCTGGGGCAGCTGAATGATGGTGTTGCTGGTGCAACTGATTGATGATGTTGCTGGTGCAATTGTGCGGAAGCTATGGATGATGGTGTGCAGCTGCCTGTGTTTAGCTGATGTGTGACAATGTGTCTATCTCCCATATCTGCCCCTCAAATCCGAAGCTTGTAGAGGGTCGAGATTTGGAAAAAGAGAAGAGAGATCAATGAACACAGTGGCTGGTCAACAGCGGTAGTGCTAGTGTAGAGCCTCTTGCGTTTGTTAGAGATGTCGTGGGTTGTCCAAAGACATGATGGCTCGGTGAGCGTTGACGAGGCTCACGGAGGAAATAAACGGCTCAGTGAGCAGTGACTAGGCTCACGAAGGAACCACAATGAAGACGGCGTGTCTGCCGCAAGCATAGACGACTTAAAAAAAATTGATGGGTAGGCTCGATGAAGGCCAAAGATGGCGTGGTTGTGGCAAGCGTAGTAGACAAGAAAACAGGGGCTCAATATCTGATTGCAACAGAGAGCATGACTAGAGATGGCTCAATATGATTTGTATAGAGAGCAATACTTGGAGGTATGAAAAACATAAGGAAATTGCAGCGCCAAAGAAGGGTGCGACTGTTGGTTTAGTTAGATGTAGGAATTGTGGGATGGTATGGCTTTGGTAGCGGGAATAAAATATTGATCATTGAGGAGAGGGTGAACAAGACGACTGTACAAGATGAATACCCATCATGGGTGAGGGATGAAAAGCGCCAACGACTCTCAATTTGGCCGAGGATTTCAAAGATTAGCAACTAGGGTTGTGAAACATCGGATTGTGAAGAAAATAAGGTTTGTAAAAGTTTCAAGAGACGCCCTAGAATCGGTGCTCTGATACCATGTGAAATTAGAGACTGTGTTGAGAAGAATAATTCTTGGTTGTTATTGATAGAGCCAAAAGGCTAAGTATTTATGGAGATATTACAAGCTTAACTAGGAAAACTAGGTTACTTGGAGACTACTCCAAATCAATTACAATCAACTAATAAAAGGAAACTAAATAACAATTTAATAACGTTCCTAATTTCTTTTTTTTTTTTTTTTTTTTTTTTTTTTTTTTTTTTTTTTTTTTTTTTTTTTTTTTTTTTTTTTTTTTTTTTTTTTTTTTTTTTTTTTTTTTTTTTTTTTTTTTTTTTTTTTTTTTTTTTTTTTTTTTTTTTTTTTTTTTTTTTTTTTTTTTTTTTTTTTTTTTTTTTTTTTTTTTTTTTTTTTTTTTTTTTTTTTTTTTTTTTTTTTTTTTTTTTTTTTTTTTTTTTTTTTTTTTTTTTTTTTTTTTTTTTTTTTTTTTTTTTTTTTTTTTTTTTTTTTTTTTTTTTTTTTTTTTTTTTTTTTTTTTTTTTTTTTTTTTTTTTTTTTTTTTTTTTTTTTTTTTTTTTTTTTTTTTTTTTTTTTTTTTTTTTTTTTTTTTTTTTTTTTAAAATTTTGTAGCTTGATTATTTCAGCACACTGTTTCTGAGTTGTGATTATACCAGCTTATTTCCCAAAGAAAAAGAACAGAAAACTACAATATTCACCAACGCTGCCAAGCCAATACGACGCCGCGCCGTTCTACGTCACAATTATATCCCAAGCTTCCTGCCGTCGTCCACGTGTCAATATCAAATTGCCTATATCCTGTGAAAACATTGCGTGTGAAGCAAGGAGAGCGACTCGAATGATACGCCGCAGCCACGTACACACACACACGTAAACAAAAGCCGTCCGATGATATCTCTATCTCTATCCAAAATCCAGCCGGCAAAATATCACGTGACAGCACACGTGGCCTGTCCTCCTACCTTGCATGCACCACGTGTATCTGACACAGTAATTTCCCACACACCACCACATTTGCTCGCCACGTTTTATGAGCACTCAGCTACACCACCTATCCTTCTCACACGTGGCGACATATCAATCAATTTCGCTATTTAAGCAAGTCGCAAGAATTCGGATATACAGATAGATTCAATCAAGAGAGAGAAGAGAAAAAGAGTTGGAAGAAAGAATATCAAGGAGTGTTTGTTTCCCGGGAAAATAATGGTGGCAATGACAACGGGCAACGCTGAGGAACCAATTTTGTGCAGAATGGAGCGCCTTGACAACATGCTAAGGCAATTGGAGGAAATCAGAGGGTGCAATAATAGTAATAATACGAGGGCATCACATTCGCCCAAGAGCAGTTCCTTCGCATCCACACCTTCGAGGATGAGCGACGGAGTGGGGCACGTGTCGTCATCTGCGGAGCTGATATCTCCGGAGAGCCTAGAGAAGCACTGCCGTCCGATGGAGGACGTGATGATGGAGACGGACGTGAAGGGGACGCTGATTGAGAGGCTGGATCACGTGGAGGGTCGCGTGCTGAAGCTGTGCATGCAGCTGGAGGAGGAGTTGACGGAGAGCGCCGAGAAGAAGAGAGATGAGGAGGAGATCATGAAGAGGAGTGAGAGAGAGGAGAAGATCATCATCGATGAGATTGGAAAGAGTCAGGATCAAGTCAAGAAGAAGAAAAAGAAGGGGTTAAAGCAACTTATGAATCAGTATCTTATGGGAAAAATATAAACCCAATAAATCAATAAGTTCACGTAATAATTCAGATGTTTTTTTTTTTTTTTTTTTTTTTTTTTTTTTTTGGGTCTCCCTTTTGTTTTGTTTGTGATTGATTGGTGAGGATGTAAATCAAGCGAGAAAGCACAAGAGACAATCAAGAGATGCCTTTGGCGGTGGTAATTAATTTTGTCTATGCATTTTTATTTTTATTTTTATTTCAGTACATGGCATAACACATAAAAAAAAAAAAAAAAAAAAAAAAAACAGAAAAATTAAGTTTAATTTAATAATTAATAATAAATGCAATCATTCCAGCATATTATCTTATCGCATTTTATGATGATGAAAATATCTAGATTTCTGTTTTAGCTGAAAATATCTGTTAGGGAAGTATCTAGACTTCTGCTTTAGCTGAAAATATCTAAAAATGACTTGATAGTCTCTAAAGATTGGGCAAGTGGTGGTGGAGGTAGTGGCACTAGGGGTGAGGGTGGTGGCGGCGGCAGGAATGACAGTGGTGGTAGTGGCAATGACTGTGGGGTTGGTAATAGAATTGGTGACGCTTGGGGGTGGTGGTGATAGCCACGACACGATGGTGATCGTGGGTGGTTGTGGTAATGGAGGTGGTGGTGATAGTTATGATAAAATGATGGTAGTAGAGACGGTGAAATTATATCTTGCGAATAAAAAAAATGTATTTATTAAAATATCTATGGGGAAGCAAATATTTGTCATAATCTAAAATTAGTCTAGAATGAAATGAAATCCGTTATTTTTTTATATTTCCTCTAGAATGAAATGAAATCTGTTATTTTTTTATATTTCCTTTAAAATCAATGAGTTTTTTAATACATTAGTTTGAATGGAGAGTTTTGGATTGAATATAAATTTTGATAAATTTCGATTTTTAAATTTCTTTAAAATCTTTTAAAATCACAATCAATATATATAACCTATCATCCTCTCTCAATTATGTATTCAATTAAGATTTTAAAAGAGTTCAATAGAGTTATAAAGTTTACAAAGTTTACAGAGTTTAATATATTTTGATTTCTATAAACTCCACATAGAAATTGATTTAATTCATAAAGTTTACAAAGTTTACAGAGTTTAATATATTTTGATTTCTATAAACTCCACATAGAAATTGATTTAATTCATAGATTGATTTGAATGGTGTTTGTTAGAATTTATCATAAATTTTAAAAAAGTTTATTAGAATTCTAAAATATTTTGTGGGTTGTTTATCATTTATTTTTTCATTAATCTGATAGGTCTACTTTCTCCAACTTCATACATTCTGACATCAGTATCATCACCAAGTCCAATTAAATTTTTCCCAACAGCTGTTCCATTGCCAATTGCACATTGATAAAAAGACCATTATATATATTTGTTGCCAATATATATTACATAAACAGATACCAAATGACAACAACTAATAAATAAATAAATGATGCATGTAGATCGATAAAGAAGGCTATCATATATATATGATATGATGTACAGAAACAAAAAAATTAACAGCAACTAAAAAAAAAAAGAAAGGAAAAAAAAAAAAAAAAAAAAAAAAAAAAAAAAAAAGAGAAAAGAGAAGAGATTAATTACAGCAACAACTCGTTTAATGCATGTATGAATGGCCCATTCATATTGGCCAATTTAACCCAAAATTGTTCTTGTTCTTCTAGTGAAATTTCTTAGGGAAATCACCAGAGAGGGCATGTTATGAAGTTTTATAAATTTTTGTGTTTTTGTGTACTCATTTAATTCTCTTCACCGTGTGTGTTCATTCTTCTTGGGGTTTGTGTGTTTGCGCTTTGTAAAATTCTTCAATGACAAAGTCTTGGAGTGTTTTTACACAATAAGGCTTGTATAAGGCCTATCACAGCTGAATTCATGGTGGTGAAATTGTTGAACGTGTATTCATATATTTTTTTTTCCAAGTAGGAATTCTTAGAATGGTTGTTTGCGTAGAAGAAGGATGAATAATGAGGATTAAGACTGCTAATTATATGTGTCGTTAAATTAATCTAATGGCCTTTATTCAAGAGATCTTCACGAGTACACAAGTCACCAAATTCTGCTGACTCATCATCCCAACAAAAGTAAGAAAATATAGTGAACGGACTTCAAACAAGGGAATGGTCCCTTTCTTATTGTAGGAGCAATTAAGAAATTTGTTGAGGTACAACTAACAACTACATACGCAACTTCCATTTTCACATCCGAGGTTGCATTTGGGACCGCACACTTTGTCGCAATCTTTTTTAAAAACACAGTCATCAGTAGCATCTGTTGCTGCTGCTGTTACAAACTTGGCCTCTTTCGAATCCATCACCGCTTGGTGTTGCTGTCGACCTTCGCCTCTCTCGCTCAAACCTGTCCATCAATTCAACAGTCAACTTCCATTCTGAATTCACCATATGCTTACAAAAATAAAGAAGGAGGAAAACTTACTTGCTGCAATAACCAGGACAATTAGGCAAGCCAGTGCGAGGGGGGCAGCCTTGGTCATTTTGGTATTGTGGTTATTAGCAATAGCGAGTGAGAGATGCTGGTAATGTGATTTGGTTAAAGCTCCTCTGCTTATTAGGCCCTATTTATAGTTTTTTTTCCCCTTCATTTTTCTTAATATGAAATTGATCGTTTCTTGATCAATTGTTCTTAATGACACCAATTTACGGGTCATCTTTTCTTAATAACTCGAGTTTTAACTTAATTATCTTTCTCAAAAAGCTAAAATTATTTTGTCCAAAAACAAAAAATAAAATTAAACCGTTGAATTCAAAATTGGAGTCAATCCATATATATATGGTAGACAATCAGGTGCTGATTAAAACAAAACGAGGAGGCCCATAATAAGAGATATCAAAATTGATATAGAGTGCTGCTTTTTCCACCTCCTAATGCTATTTCCTTATCAAGTAAATATGAAAAATAAAATCCTATATATTTTCATCCACTATTATTCCTAAAATACTCTTTAATTATTAATGAGTGATGTTATTTCCACCTCATGTCCTATATCTCCACCCACCATGTAAATTTGAAAAAACATAATCATATTTAGGGGTGTACAAGATCCAATTCAATCCACCCAAACCGATCAATCCAATTCAATCCAATCTAATTTTAATCGGTTTCGAAGAATTGACGGATTGTTTCAAAACCGACATGATTGGGTTGGATGACAGATTTGCTTGTGAGAATCCAATTCAATCTAGTTAGTTTTATGCTTATTTTGCTATTGTTGGTATTTGTCATTGAAAAGGTTATGAATATTTTAAATCATTTTAATGAAATTATGTTTAATATATTATATAATCAAAATAATTTTCTCTAATATTTCATTTATATTTTACATTTATGTCTATTAATATGTTTGATTATATTAAACATAAGGATAAATGTTTAATATTTCATTATTGTCTTTTTCTATTATCAAAATCGAGCATCCAATTCAATCCAATATCAATTGGATCGAATCGAATTGGATTTAAACATCTAATATGATTGGATCGGATTTAAAAAATCACAATTCAATCTATATTGGATTTGATGTGGATTGACTAAATTGTATTGGTTTCGAACCAACGTACACCCCCATATCTTTCCACCCACCATTATTCCTAAAATACTTATTAATTATTAATGAGTGATGTTATTTCCATCCCATGTCCTTTTTTCCCACTCACCATGTGAATTTGAAAAAACACAATCCTATCTTTTCACCCACCATTATTCCTAAAATACCATTTAATTTTTAATTCAAACAAATTATATATGCTGATCCATTAGGGATCTGTATCCTATGTTTTGGTTTTCCTTATAATTAAAAATACAAAAATATTTCCTAAAAAAATTTAAAAATTCATAAATAAATGCCAAATTTTAATGCCTTTCTTGTTCTTCTTCTTTCCTCTGCCAGCGTGCGTCTCCCTTCTTCCCCCTCAGCCCCCCAAATTCTCTTCGTCAATCCAAAAATTCCCTCTCATGGGATTTTTCTTCTGTGTTTTGTCATTTGTGTTTTTTTTTTTTTTTTTTTTTTTTTTTTGGTGTTTGTTACTGAATATTTTTTTTAGGGGTTGGGTTCGTTTAATTTGATTATAGGTTTAAATGATGCAAAATCAAAATAACTTGCTACAATAACAGGTACCTGTGGGAACCCAGGGGTCTATGGATATTCTATATTGTCTTGGAAGTCCATATTTGCGGGATTGAACATTAGGGATTGTCAACAACTCTTAATCATATGGGAAGAGAAGAAATACTTTTTGATTGGGTAAAGACATGGCTTGATGAATATGAAAAAAAGCGTTGCAGTTTGGTATCTTTTTGTTTAATTAAGGATTTTTTTTTTCTTTTTAAATTCGTATGAAATTGAGTTTTTATTTTAGTATTGAGATTTTTTCTCTCAATTCTTATAAGTCATTTTATAAAGGAGTAAATTTCTCTATAAAATTTTGAAGATAAGATATGGGTGCAGAAATAGAATATGGATGGAAATAGCAGTACTCTTATAAATTCAAGCATGAGAGGCTTGGGCTTGGCGCACGCACACCTTCGTCTCATCCTCCAAGAGAGGCTTGGGCTTGGCTTCCCATCTCTGCGTTGCCACCTTCAACCACACTAAGTCCAGCTCCATCTCTGTCATCCCCACCTCTCTCTCTCTCTCTCTCTCTCTCTCTCCTCTCTCTCTCTCTCTCTCTCTCTCTCTCTCTGGGTTTGTGTCAAAATTTGGAGTGTATTCAATTAAGAGTTTAAAAGAGTTTGTACAAATTTGGGTGTATTCAATTCAGATTTCAATTGACTTTAAAAAAATACATCAAAATCTAGGTGTATTCAATTATAACTTTTTAGAAGTCAAACCAAGTTTAGGTGTATTCAAAAAGTCAATTATTTAGAAGGAATTAACGAGTTGTCCAATTTTGTTAGAATTTAAAGTAATAAGTATAAATACATGTCAACTTTAGAAACTTTGAAAGTGCTCTACACCAGTCTTTGAACATGTGTGTTTGTCAAGTAGAAGTAAAAAATCTATTTTCTACTACGCTTTCATATATGTATGATCTCTCATCGATAGTCTTCCCAATAGTTGCTGTTGTTGTACATCATATATCTTCAATATCGATAGTCTTTGAACGTTTGTTTCTCTTTTTCCCAATAGTTGCTGTTGCTGTTACAAATAAAAAGCTCCAATCTCTTCTATTTGAATAGTTGTTGTTGCTGTACATCATATATCGATGTAAAATAGCGTCCCAATTATTTTTTTCTACTACATATCAGATATATGCTATAGCCATCTTGATCGATCTACAACATCCCTTCTTTCTTTCTTTTTTTTTTTTTTTTTTTTTTTTTGTTTGTCTGCTTTTTTTTTTATTTTGTTTTTTATGTTTATATGTTAATGTTATGTCAATTTTTTTTTTTTTTGTGGTCATTAATGGAGATGGAAAAAGTAGAGGCAGTGCTATAAAACGAAGAAAAGGAAATAGAGATGATAGAGAATTAGAGAAACATTATTATGAAACCATAAAGATATCGTTGATGGCAACAAAAGCAATAGCTCAAGTGCTAAAAAAACTAAAAAAAGAAATAGCTCAAGTGCTTAAAAGAGTTTATTAGAGTTCTAAAATAACATAGTATTTGATTGAATTCCTAAATTAATTTTAATGGTGTTTGTTAGAGTTTTATCAAATACACCTTTTTTTCTTTAAAAAAAAAAATATATATTTTATTTTTTGGCATATGGTGATTTCTCCTTAAGTTCATTTCACCAGTTCCCACATGATTATATTAAATTGGGTCATGCTAGGGAGACCAATTTTAGATACCAACTTGTGTGCCAACTCTCTAATAGAGGTGGAGCCCACCAATACAATGGGTCCCACACTCTATTAGAGAGTTGGTATACAAGTTGGTATCTAAAGTTGGTATCTCTAGCATTTTCCTATTAAATTAGATAGGTACGAAGAGGGTGGACCCAGTATTGACTTATTCACGAAGGCTCTTATCATCAACCAACCTACATGAATAAATGAGCTTATTAAATATTGCCAACTTAAGGGGGTTTTGAATTTTCATATTTTTAATTTTTAATTTCAGATGTGGGCACCACAATTTCACATTCCTAACCCTCCGTTTGGATTAAAAAAATTAAAAATTACATAGAATTCTAAAATGACGGAATTTAGATTTTCTTTGATTTCAACTTATAACAATTGAAGATTTCAATATTTGGATTTATGGATGTCGAATTTTTTAAATGATAGAATTTTGTGAATGGTACTATGAAATTTGTGAAATAACGCCTCCTATTTTGGTGGAAATTATACTCAAGAATTTGATGCCCCAATTTTCATTTTTTTTTCATCGCATCATTTAATAAATTCCACACTTAAGTTGCCAAATAAGAGAATTGTCAATTTCTCCTCTTACATTCTCGACTTTTAGTTAAATTCTGATTTTCTTTCGTCCAAACAGAGAGTAACTAAGTTTGGGATGAAGTTGATGATACGTGGCAAAGTGATATTTAAACCTTGGTCAGGTGGGCAAAGTGGTGTGACTTTAATTTTTAGGGGCAATGTAAAATTTGACCAATATTTTTAATACAAATTTATAAATAAATCCAATCCTAGACATGTATTTATAAAAAAACCCAAGCACTATTTAAACATAGAAACACACCCAACATCAACCCCAAAGTCAACTTTTTTGGTGTGTTTATAAATGGATTTTGAATGTGTGTAATGATGGGTTTTGGGTGTGTTTATATGTTTAAATAGTGCTTGGGTTTTTTTATAATTTCAACCCCCATTTTGGGTGTTTTAGTGAAACTCCCTATTTTTAAGGGGTAATGTAGCAATTAAGGCAAATAATTGCTACAAATAAAATAGAGATTACAAGGACAACGTCTTTTCCACCTAACTTTACTTTTTATTAGGAAAGTGTTTTTCCTTTTCTTCTTTACTAGTCATAAACCACAAAATAAACAAATGACCTTTGCTAAATTTGAAGGGACAAGACACACGTACGCGGGCTAGGCACATAAATTTTCAAAAATATTTCTTGTAATCCTTGTATAATTAAAAAATTAAAAAAATAAAAAAAATTTGAAGGGATAAGATGCAAATCCTCAAATTAAAATTTTCAATTTAAATACTAATCCCAAAAGAAAAATAATCACGCACTAGTTCAAGAAATATCCGTCAAATCTTACATTGGGGTCGAATCAACAAGAACAAGAGAGATGTGATTTGATCACCACTAATGGACAAGTCAATTGTTTATCAGTCTGCCTTGATTCACAAATAAAAAAGAAAGAAATGTTTACAAATTACAACCCAAAACTCCAAATCATCTAATCAACACTCAACAATCGACTATCATTTATACCTCAACTACCTCAACAGAATTCACCAAAACTGCAGATGGATCCAGAGGCGAGTTTCTGCAAATTGGGCAAGTGGGATGAAGCCGCAGCCATTTGTCTACACAAATTTGGTGAAAGAAATGGCCACAATTAGGCACAGATCGCAAGACGTCTTTGTCTTCGAAGTCTGCCAAGCATATGCAACAACAGGAAGGAGCTGAAACAGAGCCAACCATTCGCAGCTTGGCCTCAGAGTAAAGTAGCTTCGGGTAGCTGCAGATGGTGGCTTCATCAAGGCCTTGTTCGATGGTTGCAGAGCTGTCGTTGTTGTCAGACGGGTCAACGGGAGATTGCCTTCGGTTGCAGCAGGAGATCAAGACTATGAGGAAGATTATGGCGAGGACGCCAATGACAACTCCAGCAGCGTCATATATTTCATCGCTGTCCATGTTGTTGGCTGAAGCATAACCATGTAGCAGAAGTAGAAGGGTCCAAATTTTTTCATTTTCTTTTTTATCAGATATGGGGACGGCGTAGAAAAATGAATTGAGAGATGGATGGGATGGGAATGAGAGGGCGGCGATTTGTAGGGGGGTTGTTTTGGATTTGGAAATACTGTATGTGGTCTCTGGTAATTGACCTAGCTGGTATCTGGGGTGTGTGCCAAGCCGTGGAGTTTGTATCTGATAATTGTTAATAATATATAATTTCTATCATTTTCTTAGGAAGGAAACTTGTCGCGGCTTTATATAATTGATTATAATAAAATTCTGACAGAAAAAATGTGAAAATTTATATATCCCAATAAAAGAAGAAGGCTGAAGAGTGGACAAATAGGAAAAAACTCGAGATGCATTTTTTTAGTACAAGCAATAGTTTAAATTAGAAAGGGGATAATGGTTTCTCACACATCATACCAAGTTGTCATACGAATTTGAACATGAGATCACTCGTCTGCAAATTTAGACTTTTTTTCATTGGCGCACTTTAGATGCATTTTTATTCTCCCATGCCTCACACAATTGCACATACATGATGGGTCATTTATCTCTTAGGAATCTATTTAATGACCATCCATACAAATATTCAGCGGATCAAAAGTTTGAAAGGACATTATGTCTATAAAAGGTGTCTAAAGGATAGAAATCGTTTTGCAGATCGTGAAAGGGATCAAGATGCTAGGGTCTTTTTTGTTCATCTAATCTAAACTATGCTAGAACTACTAACACGTGTATGAGGAAATCTCCCTCATCGTATAATTTAAACTATTGCTTGTACTAAAAAAAAGGCTACATTAGTTTTTCTTTTCTTTTCAAAGTAATGAGAAATTTAAACTAAGTAGTCAAGGTAGCTGCAAGTGGCAATGTTATAATATATTCTGTAAATTTTTTTTTCTAGCTAATTCTCTCCTTGTTGAATATATGCCGGTAGATATTCTAAACTATGGTCTATAAATATAATATAGAGTCCGAGACATAAAGATTCGTGACAAGTATTTAAATAATTTTGTGCATCCTTTATTTTGATATACCTTTCAATGTGGTGCTAGGTTAGTGATAGAGATTGCAGCAAAGTGTAATAATTGAGCATAAAATATTGCTAAGTTAATAGTTGAAACGTAAAGAATTACATAAATCAAGTACAATGTGTTATAATAAAAGTAAATAAAAATGAATTGAGTGAGGTTGCTTGACGTACTTTGCTTGAGCACAATTCAAGAAACAGCTAAACCTTGCTAAGTATCCGGGTGAGCCAATCTGGTCCACCATCCACACAGCCTGTGCACACACACAACTGCATGAAGAGAGGAAAGAACCAAATACGAGTGCACTGAGGATTAAGGAAAAAAAAAACAAACACATAAGGGAAAAAAAGAGAGGAAAAACCAAATATGAAACCCCATGTGATTAAGGCTTTGAGCTTACATCAACCCAAACAACAAGAAGATGGGCTGTTTAAGACCCAGCCCGATCGTAAGAGTACCAAAAACATGAATAAAATGGGAATTTGGACTAGAGGTGTACAACCGACAAGCCCCTTGATAATGTTTCTATAAAATACTTGAATGGTTGAATAAATGAGAAATGAAATTACTCTTATAAATTGTTTTTCAATTACATTAATGAAAATATTTTTGGTGTGTCCCTTCATTAAGTAGGTAAGCATTAGCGAGAGCGAGAGAATTAAAATAGGATTAACTACAGTAAATCCCTCAAATTATGAGGGGAATTACAAATTTATACCCAACGTATATTGACCGGTTTGACTAGTACACAAACTTCACGAGACTTTTCAAAATACACCATCCGTTACTAATTCCGTTAGGAGAGGTGTTAAACCATGACGTGGCAATGGTGATCCCGTTTTTTAATGCTGATGTGGGATAAAAAATTAATAAGAAAATGGATTTACTTAAAAAAAATTACTTATTATTTTTTTAAAATGAAAAAAAAACTCTCTCTCTCTCTCTCAACCCCACAAACCCAACCACCAACCGCCTCCCCCACAAGCAAGATCGGACCTTGAAGATGAGATGCTTTCTGATCTGACTGGCGAGGTGGTTGGCGGCCTCATCTTTGCGTAGCATCAACATAACAACCATCTGAAACTCTCTCTCTCTCTCTCTCTCTCTCTCTCTCTCTCTCTCTCTCTCTCTGTGGCAATGCTTCTTCCTCATCTTCGCGCCTATATCGTTTGTAAAACCCTAGTCTCTCTTCTTCACTTCCTCAGACTAATTCCTCAAAAAGCCAAACTTTCGTCCTCTTCTTCAAAATGTCCAAGCCCGCCATCGTTCTGCCAGACCCAACCCTTCATGCCGATTTCATACCTGTTGGTCTTTTTTTCCGTCCACCGGTCCTTTTCGCCAATCTACGGAGGTCAACTCAGCTCTGAGGAATGGAGAGGATATTGGATCAACACCAATGCCCGATCGGATGGTGTCTCTTGACTCGCAGAGAGGACTCCTTCAATTTCCGAACAAAATTGAAAGTTGAATAAGTTTGCCAAAAGTGAATGGGCCTGGTCGAGGCCTTATATATTAACTTTTCTCAGCACTGATATGTGATGTTGCATAGGTGTGCCACTATTGGGTATGTAACCAGCCTAATAGACCTGGGATGGTGCTTATGAATGATTAGTTTTGAATGGAACTCGCGTCTTTTTATGGACTTCTTATCAAGCCATTGTGCTCCAGGGGGGTACTGGCCTAGATTGATTCTTTTCTATGCCTCAATTAAGAGGACTTCAATATTCTTCCCTTCGTGAATATCGACCCAACAAGTATGAGCAGTACTTGAACAAGTAAGAGAGAAAGACCAAGTTTGTGGTTAGTAAGACCATATATGGGTTTTATCAACCCGTTTCAATATTTTTATCTTCCTCGGGCTGGACTAATAGTTAATTTGGGCCCAGTGGTGTAATTCGGGCCCAACTCAACTTCCTATCCCTTTTTTTCCTTTACTGTTTCATTCGGGCCCCTGTTCCCTTTCGGGTCCGAACGCTAATTCTTCCGAACTTTTAAAGGAAAAAGGCGGGACTCCAATTTTATGTATTAGAATAGTCCATGATTCATTTTTAGATAATTAAGTGAACTTATTTATGTAGAGTTTTCTGCAACATATTTTGAGCGTAAGCTAAATAACAGAAACTTCTACAATTAATGCATCAATTATCTTTGAATCCGAATTACAAAGTGAAGAAAGAGATACCAGAGATTTCTCAATCCAGCCAAATGATTACGAGAGACACACGCATGAGTTGTCAACTGGTTATCTAGAGAGAAAGTAGGCAGATTGTTATCTTGAAAATTTTCAAGTGTTTTTTGAGACGTTGCGTCGGGTTTTGGAGAGAGAGTCCCGTTCTTCTGAAGTAGACTTTCTTTATTTATGGAGGTGGAAGGAGCCCTTAATGATGGAAATTGCGACAAGACCCTTGGCTTGTGTTTCAAGGTCAGTTGCTGGTTTGTTGATCTTAACCGGTTCATAGAGGGAATGATGGAGGATTTCTGGCAGGAACTATCAATTTTCTTTGTGGAGCTTTCTTGATTTGACTTCTTTGTACTTGAAAACCTGGCTGGCAATTTTGATCTTTTTCTAGTTTTGGAGGTACGACTTGTTTTCTTGCTGGGAGAGAAGGAGGTCAAGTCGTCATTAAATGTGATAATCCCCTTTGGCCTCCCACGTGGCCTAGAAAACACGCTTATTGATTTTTAACTTGTAGTGCGAGATAAAGGTATGATTTTCATGATTTGGGCCTTCTTATTGATTCATTCAAAGAGGCCCGTTGGGAAAAGGATGACCCTCTTAGAAAAGACAAATGCTAATGGGCCTAGCTTTATCTTTAAAATATTCTTTTAAACCTTTAGACCATTTTTGGTTCATTTACCGAAACTGGGTACAAACAGTACCCAATCAAGATACTTGAAGAGCTCGAGTCCTTTCACTACCTTTTCAACAATGCCTCGATTGCCCTCCAATCTACGTCGACTACTTCTCTGCTACCCATTAGGCTAAGAGTTATTGTGTTCCACTGCCGTAACATGGTTGCTGGCTGTTTATGGAGATGACAAGCATGTCCAAGGAGGGACTAATTTGAATGTGTATGCGATATGACATTGGTATTTGATAGATGTTTTCATCTACTTCTCGCATAGTCTTATTACTCTTCCACCACCATGTTGGACCAATACAACTCACGGGCACGATGTTAAGGTGTTAAAAGTGTTAGTTTGCTTAAAGTATTTGATATTTTTGTTGAATAAATCCCTAAGATTTAGGGAAATTAGCTAGGTTTTGAAAGTCTTTAAAATGGTCTTTGCTTGCTAAACGTTTCTTTAAGAGAATCCCATAATATTAGGGATTGTTGGTCATGGAATTTTGCACGTTATTATCTTTCTGTTAGTTTCACATTGTAAGGCTATTTAAGCCATATCTTTCATTGAATGATTTTATTCCTCCTAATTTATCAATTTTTAAATTAAGAACTCTAGAAAATTGACATTTGGTATCAGAGCTCCTCACTGGAGCCTGAACATTCGAAGAAAGCAGTAGTTTTTGACTTGCAGCAGTAAGAAGTAATGGTAGGAGAAAGAAGTAATTTTGCGCAACCAGCTATTCCACGTTTCGACGAGCATTATGATCATTGGTCCATGTTTATGGAGAATTTGTTGCACTCCAAAGAGTATTGGGGCTTGGTGGAGAATGAGATCACACAGTATGCTGAGGGAACTGCTCTAAGTGAAACTCAACTCAAGGCCTTAGAAGATCAGAAACTAAAGGACTTGAAGACCAAGAATTATCTCTTCCAAGCCATAGATCAAGCCATTTTGAAGACAATCCTGGCAAAGGACACAACAAAAGACACATGAGATTCGATGAAAAAGAAGTATCAAGACACAACTAGAGTTAAGCGTGCACAGTTGTAGGCGCTTCGTTAAGAGTTTGAGATGCTTCACATGAAGGTGGGAGAAATAGTCAATGACTACTTTGCAAGGGTGCTCACAGTAGCCAACAAGATGAGAATCCATGGAGAAAGGATGAGTGATGTAGTGGTGATTGAAAAGATCCTAAGGTCAATGACACAAAAATTTGACTATGTGGTTTGTTCCATTGAAGAATCTAACGAGATAGCTGAACTCTCAATTGATGAATTGCAAAGCAGTTTGCTTGTGCATGAGCAAAAAATTATTGTCCATGTAATGGAGGAACAAGTTCTGAAAGTGAGTCAACAAAATAACTCACCTACGAGAGGAAGGGGTCATGGAGGCTACAGAAGTCGTGGAAGCGGAAGAGGGAGAAAAGGATCATTTGATAAGTCGACTATTGAGTGTTATAATTGCCATCAATTGGGGCATTTTCAATATGAGTGCCCTAATAAGGGCATGAAAACAAGGCAAATTTTATTTAAGTTGAAGAAGAAATGGTACTCATGTCTTATGTAAATATGCAAGAAGATACCACCAACAAGCTATGGTATCTTGATTCTGGATGCAATAACCACATGAGTGGAGACAAGAAGCTTTTTGCAACACTTGATGAAACATTCATAGAGAAGGTGAAGTTGGGAGACAATTCTAGCCTATGTGTCAAAGGGAGAGGAAACATCAACATTAAAGTAAATTTTTTTTTAGGGGGGGGGGGGGGGGGGGTGTGTTAATATAAGTTGAGATGGGTCCAAACATGTTTTCCATTGCAAACAAAGGCCTCATGTGATGATTATAAGTGCTTCAAATCTACCACTTAAGAGGATGCAAGCTGGTTGTGGCATTATATAAGGACTCCCAAGTGCTATTTTGAAAACTTTGGAACAAAAGCATATGGATACTAGATTACCTAGGCTGCAAGCTTCCTAAAAAATTTGTGAAGAATGCATGATTGGGAAGCAACACCGTGATACTTTTCCTCAGAAGAGCACTTGGGAGTCCTCATATATCCTTCATTTGGTCCATTATTCAGACATATGTGGACTTGTTAATCTTATCTCCAATAGCAGCAAGAGGTACTTTATAACTTTCACTGATGATTTTAGTAGGAAGACTTGGGTGTACTTTTTATCTTAAAAGTCTGAGGATATAATTGGTTTTAAGAAGTTTAAAGCTATAGTTGAGAAAGAAGCTGGGGTGTTTATTAAAGTATTACGTACTGATCGTGGAGGAGAATTCACTTCACATAAATTCACCACCTTTTGTGAGGAGAATGGTGTTCATGGACAGTTAACTACAGCTTACACTCCTCAGCAAAATGGGGTTTCATAAAGGAAAAATCGTACTGTTATAAATATGGTACGTAGCATGCTTGCAAGAACAAAGGTGCCTAAAACTTTTTGGCATGAAGCTGTGAATTGGAGTGTTCACATCTTAAATAGATGTCCAACATTAGTTGTGAAGGATATAACCCCAAAATAAGCTTGGAGTGGGAACAAACCAGGAGTTGCTCATTGCAAAGTATTTGGATGCTTAGCTTATTCTCATGTCATTGATAAGCTAAGAAGCAAACTTGATGACAAGAGTGTGCCATGTGTTATGCTTGGGATTAGTGATGAGTCCAAGGCTTACAAGTTGTATAATCTAGCTACCAAGAGGATCATAGTCAGCATAGATGTAATTTTTGATGAAAAAGCTTGCTGGAACTAGACAGATGAAGGAGTTGAAGAGATAGTTGCGAATCTTGAAAGGAATGAGGAGAATTCAGCTGGTAGACACTAAATCAGAAGGCTTAGCCTATGAGAATTCTGTTGCAGACACTAACTCAAAAGGTTTAGCTGATGAGAACTAAGAAGAGCACATAATCAGAAAACCACGATTAAGAAGACCTTCTACTTGGATGACTGATTATATGAGTAGAGATGAGTTATCAGATGAAGAAAATATTGCTCAACTAGCCTTGCTTGCTTATTGTGATCCAATCACCTTTGATGATGTTATGAGAAGTTCAAAATGGAGGAAAGCTATGGACTTAGAGATTGAAGCAATTGTAATGGATATACAAGACATGCTCAAGGAAAATGGAGAAGTTGACAAATACAAAGTCAGGTTAGTGGCAAAGGGTTACACACAAGAATATGGAATAGACTATGCCAAAGTTTTTGCACATGTGGCTAGACATGATACAATTCAATTGGTGGTGTCATTGGTAGCTCAAAATAATTGGTGTATTAATCAACTAGACGTGAAGTCAGCTTTCTTGCATAGAGAATTAAATGAGCAGTTTTTGTAGATCAACCACCAGGGTATGTCATGAAGGGAGAAGAACATAAGGTGTACAAATTAAAGAGGGCTTTATATGGACTGAAACAAGTTCCTCGAGCTTGGTACAGTCGTATTGAGTCTTACTTCACAAAGATGGGCTTCAAGAAGGGTCCTTACGAACACACCTTATTCATCAAGCATGGAAATGGAGGTAAAATTTTAATAATATGTCTCTTGTAGATGATCTTATAAATACTGGGAATGATGAGACAATGTCTGTTGAATTTAAGAAGGATATTATTGTTGAATTTGAGATGGCAGATCTAGGAAAGATGCATTATTTCCTAGGTATGGAAGTTAAGCAAACAGCTGATAGGATTTTTGTTGGGCAAAAGAAGTATGCTCAACAAGTGCTTGATAAGTTTCAAATGAGTGAGTGCAATTCAGTACAAAATCCTATTGTTCCAGGAGTTAAGCTGACTAGACACATTAATGGCACAAAGGTTGACAACACATATTTCAAGCATATGGTGGGAAGTCTGATGTACCTAACTACCACACAACCATATTTAATGTTTGTCATAAGCCTTATTAGCAGATTTATGGAGTAACTGTTTGTGTAAAAATCCTCATGGGAGAATATTCACTTGTGGATTCTTCAACCTTTGATCTTTCTTCTCTCTCTTCCTTTGTCTTTGTAATAAAGACCGGAGTAAATATACCACTCGGAGGGTGTTGACCAAATGCCCTCTAATACCTAAGTTAGGTCAATTGAATCTCGGATAAACAATAGCTAAAAGGGGGTACAGAGATGTATTTATGGTGATAACTGGGCGGCCTGAGCTATGTGCAGAGCCGTGTATGTAAAATATGGAGAGTGAGCACACACTGTTTACTAAAAATGGAGATGGAGGTAAATTTCTAATTATGTCCCTATATGTAGATGATTTGATTTACACAGGAAATGATAAGGCAATGATTGATGCTTTTAAGCAATCCATGATGAAAGAGTTTGATATGAGTGACCTTGGATTGATGCATTATTTTTTAGGAATCGAAGTAGAGCAAATTGCTGCAGGTGTTTTTATTTCACAAAAGAAATATGCTCAAATGATTTTGGACAGATTTGAGATGAAGAATTGCAATTATGTCTCTACTCTAACTAAATATGGATTGAAGCTATTGAAGCATCCTGGAGGAAAGAAAATTGACAGCACTTTTTACAAGCAAATTATGGGCAGCCTCATGTACTTAACAACAACTAGACCTGATATGATGCATGCTGTGAGTCTTATCAGTAGATACATGGAAAGTCCAACTGAATTTCATCTCCTTGCAGCTAAAAGAATTATGCGTTATTTGAAAGACACTATTGACTTTGGAATTTGGTACAAGAATGGAGGAAAATCAGTACCATTTTAGGCTTCACTGATAGTGATCATGCTGGAGACTTGGATGATAGAAAAAGCACCTCTAGTTATGTTTTTTATGATAGGTGCAGGAGCTGTTTCATGGTCCTAAAAAAAGCAACAGATTGTCACTTTATCTACAACAGAAGTAGAGTTTGTTGTTGCAACATCTTGTGCATGTCAAGCAATCTGGTTGAAGAGAATGCTTGAAGAACTACAATGCTATCAAGAGGGCTCTATTCCAGTATTTTGTGATAATAGTTCAACCATCAAACTTTTAAAAAATCCAGTTTTACATGGAAGGAGTAAACATATTGATGTGAGATATCATTTTCTTGCGTGATCTTTGCACCAATGGAGTCATTGATATGATTTATTGAGTGAAGACCAAGTTCCAGATATTCTAACAAAGCCTCTCAAGTTTCCTGTGTTTGTGAAGCTGAGAGAATTGCTAGGAGTTTGCTCATTTAAGGATATTGCTGGGTGAAGTTAGTTTTTTTAATGCACAAGAACTGAAGTGTTTTTTTTTCTTTAAATTGATTGTCTACTTACTTCAGTTTAAGGGATGGTGTTAAGTTGTATTATTATTGTTTTTCTCTATGTTTTTTGAATAATGAGTTGTTGACTCCTATTCTATAGGAAGTCAGTTTGTTTTACTTGGTCTTTGGTAGTATCCCATCTGTTTAGGAGTCTGTTTATCATGGGATTAGTTGTTCCATGTTTTTAGTTGGTTTGGTATTCTGAAAGTGTATTTATATTTTCATTTCAGTCAATGAATATACTTCAGTTTAATATAGCTTTCTATCTCATCTTTGAGTTTTCTAAATTTCCAACAGACGAGGGGGGGAGAGGAAGTCGGAGCAGATGCCAAGGGAGATGAGGGTTTGGGAGATCTTGTGAGCGACAAAGCCAAACTTGACAACACTGAAGAAGAAGACGATGGTGTGGAGACTGGGTGGCTGGGGAAGGCGGTTGGTGGCTGGGTTTGTGAGGCACATCTGCCACGTCATTATTTAATGTCTCTCTTGACGGAATTAGTAACAAAGGGTGTATTTTGAAAGGTCTCGTGAAGTTTGTGTACTAGTCAAACCGATCAATATACAGTGGGTATGAATTTGTAATTTCTCCCATAATTTGGGGGGTTTATTGTGGTTAATCTATTAAATTATTTTTTGGTGTGCCCCTTTATTAAGTAGGTAAGAATAAGCGAAGGCGAGAAAATTAAAATATTTTATGGTGTGTCCCTTCATTAAGTAGATAAAAATAAGCGAGGGCAAAAAGAGCTGAGCGAAAATTTTAGGGTTAGATTTTTTCATGCATATGATATGATCTTGTGTTTGAAAATATAAGCGCAGGTGCATATGCTGTCTCAAGTCTCAGCAAATGTCATAAATAAAGAATTAATTAATTATCCTTCTTTCAAAATGATTTGTAGCTAGGAAGAGGATCCTTCCTCGTAGAAATGATTCGGCTTGTCTCTCTCCCAACATATTAGTTGGTCAAAGTAATTGAGTAAAACTTATCATGCGATGAGAGAGATAAAAAGAGAGAGAATGTACACACTACACATATGGTTACTATTGTTACTAAACACACACACACATATGCTAAATGCATACACACTACACATATGTTATGTTAGGATTTGAACCTGGATTAGATTGAAATTAAAAAACCACTAAACCATGGGTGCTGGAGTCAACCTATCAACAATACTGCCGTTATCTATACAAGTGGTAATAACAAATAGGACCTCGATCAAATTTTTTAAAACAAAACAAAACAAAAAAATTGGGGCTCCATTGAGCCGGGTCCCATGACAGTTGCCTCTGCCACGTGGAGGTGTTATCACGCGTGTCATTAGAGTTATTGCATGGGATCTTTCTACCGGCTCAGAGCTGGCTTTGCAAAATAACTAACATAAATGATAAAGAGAGATGCAGAAAGGTAGGAATCATATAATAGCTTCCTTTTTATTATTGGTAAAGCATACAGAGTAAAAACTGGGGGTTGTCTCATTTCATTCCCCAAATACAATGCCTGAAGTTATAGACTATTACAATCATATGTAAACACCCAACATCCTTGACAGGTCACCATGATACAAAAAGAGGAAAAATTGCAGATAGAAAGTTGAGTTTTTATGACTGTAACGAAAAGATGACAAGGCAAAAAATTAATCATGGGAGTGCACTGTCGTAATATTGCTGTATTACTAGACTGATGAAACCTATGGTGGTGATCGACCCTTGAGAAAGCGCCAAGGCCCTGTTCCAGTCCCCATCCTGCAAATGTAGGGTCCAAAATCAATTTTCTAATTACCAACTACATCCTAGTCTAGTCATGATACTAATTATGTGCCGAGTGTTGGAAGAGGTTTCAAATTCGAATCTCTCCTTCATTGATAAAAGAAAAGTAAGTACATAAATGATAATTACCTCCATACACCAGCAAATGTACGCAGCGCCATATAGATGGTTAAAGCAATCCAAATTCCAATGAAACCATGGGATTTGGAGAGAAGGAACAAGGATACAATGCTTGCTATGGCCACCAGAACCTGAGAAGGAACAGAGAATTTTGTTTTGAAGAATTAGTAACGCAATTTGTGAAAAGAGAATTCAGAAACATCAATTGCAAAACTTGTAGTATCATTTATAGTGTGGTAAATGGTTTACAAGAGACTTGCCAAGGAGTACGCACAATACGCAAAGTCAGATGCTCCGAAGTTCACACCATCAAAGACAAAAGACAGTGAATTGATCGGTTGTGTGGCTGCTACAAACTGATGGATAGAAAACAATTTAGTTTAAATATTCATTTCATCAAAAAAAAAAAAAAAAAAAAAAAAAAAAAAAAAAAAAAAAATTTATTTAGAAGATGGGAGAAAAAAGAAAGAAAAGAGAAAGAGAAATTTTTTTTTATATGATGATTAAATTACATACGGGAGGCCAATCCTTATAAGGTGCAAAACATTGACATCCCTAGAAAAGATTCCAGCTCCAAAGTACAAACCAATTCCGACAACAAAAGTAAGCCCCACACCAAGGATAAAGCTCATCTGCACAAACATTCCTTCACAAATTAAAATGCTGATTGCTTTCACAAATGTGGAACGTAACGAAATTGTTAAAAAGAAATAGTAGGTTAGTTATGAAGTTCAAGTCATGAATGGTTTATAGATACATAGCCTCTGCTGCTATGTGCACTAACTGAAGTACCTGTAATACCCTGGTTGCGGTGGCTATGGCCTTCTTGTAGTCTTTCTCAGCAAATGCACATGCTAGAATAGCCTAAAGAGCAGGGGACGATGACACAAAGATTGTTTGAGTAAGAAGCTTACTTACTTGCAACTAAAATAGCTGTAAGTCACTCGAGATGATATATGTTTAAATGGAGAAAAAGAAAAAAGAAAAACCTGCCCTGCAACAGCCAAGCCATCCGCAAGAAGAGATGATGTCAACCAAACCTGCAGGCAAGTCTGAAATGCAGCCATAGGAGTTGGACCTTCCCGGGCGGCCAGCGATGCTGCCAAGGTCACACAGAAGGTCACAGCAACCACCCTTGCCAACAACAGAGTACCTGTAACCAAGCATAAAGAAAAATTATACAGAAGCCAACCAAGTAAGAATTATATATGTATGTATGTAAGATTAATATATTCACTGAATCTCCACTCCCAATTTTGGATTATTGAGGGATGGAGGTAACATTCATGCAAGTACAAAAGTGATATAAGAATTGAGCTCATTACCATTCCTCAGAAACCGACCAAACTGCAAATCTTTAATACTTGGAGGTAAGAGATCAATTTTTTTGGTTAAGATTATGAAGAGTACCACTGCCATCAAGTATCTAAAACGAATTAAAAAAAATTAATCTTAGCAAAGATGCATCAAATAACATATTAAAGTTACAAACAGCTATACTTCAATAGCAGCTGTAAATATGAAACAATAAAAATAATACCATGACAAGGGTCACACTACTCACTGAGAAAGAACATGTGCCAAAGCTGCACCTCTGATGCCCAAGCCACAGACAAAGATGAGCAGTGGATCCAAGGCAATGTTAACTCCATATCCCACAACTGCGATACGACCAAATGAAACAAATAAACCCGAGGAAGTAGTTAGAAGAATTGGTGATTACTACAAGTTTTTACTTATATACAGTAAGTTTTTTGGCCTACCAATGACATATAAAGGAGTTTTGGTATCCTTAAAACCTCGGAAGATCCCTTGCATGGCCAATGTAAGAAGAACTGCAGGTGCACCAATCGATCTAATTTTCAAGTACTTCTGTGCTGGGTCTAGCATAGGGGAATCCTGCTCCATAAGAAGAGCTGTAATTATTTCCCTCATTCCATAATGATCTTTAAAGTGAAAAAAATGTTAATAAGTTCAGTTGATTAAGCCTGCCTTTTGGGTTAAGGGAGCTCCTAAATGTTTAATTAACTACAAAATGTATATAAAAAACGTTTCTACATTCTAGAGATCATATGGGAGAAAGTTTGTTTCAATTTTTCTTTCTCATTGATTTGTTTCCATATCTTCAAATTGTATACATCTTCATTTGTTTATTATTAGTATAAGAAATATAAGTCACTTACTGATTTCACACCCATGACACCCAGAAGAACTTTAGTTGAAAAAATGATAAATATAGCTTGCAAAAGGCCAAGTACTGTCCCAAAGATGAGTGCTGTCGATGCTGAAGCAATATGTCGCTTCTGTTTCTTGATTTTTTCCTTCTTATTGGTGCTCATAAGATCAGAAGTGAGCTCGTCAACTGTTGTTCTCGAACCTAAATCAAGAAATCACAATTACTAAATGTCACAATGATAAAATTATTCAAGATGATTAGATCTTTGTGTTTCAATTTGCGTGTCAGAGAGCTAGAGAATGAGTGAGGAAAGAGTACCATTTTCTAGTGGATTACTGTTTTTAGAAGCACCCTTCTCTGCCTTCTCAAGCTTAACATTTTCCTCTATGGCTTTGTTTGCTTCACTGCTTTCAAGTAATCCGTTGTCTGCGCTCTCACCTTTCGCCTCAGGTGCTCCTTTTACTGCCGCCACATGCTCATCATCCTCAGCAGAAGCCTCTTCCATCTTTCCATTTCCCAGATGCTTACCATTTTCTTTAGCTGTACCATTTGGTTTAGCAGCCCCCTTTTCCAAGTCATCAAGCATGTCTGCCTTTTGCAATTGCTCACCTTTTTCTGATTTCATGTTCATTTTTGCAACAGTGTCTTCCTCAGCAACGAAGGAAGTTGTAATACTGACCAATGGGAATACAGTAATTCTTGAAGCTTGATTGAACAGGGCAATAGATACTCCTGCTGCTGCAAGTTCCACCGGACCTAGACAAAACCAAATTCATGTTTTTAAGTCGCTCCACTTGAAACAGACATCACTCCGTATATTTCGATATCAACTAGCTAGTCAATATTGCCAAACACCACACACAATTGTATCTTATTGTGAACATGCAGACATAAATATAAACAAAACTGTTTTAAAAATTGAAGCCTCCAAATTTAAGTGCTTCAAAAAATCAAGAAAGCAAAAGCAAGCGTACGTACCTATGTGACCTATGAATGCCGTGTCAATCAAAGAAGCGATAGGATCAGCAGCTGTAGCCAGAGCAGCAGGTAATGCAATATCTAGGATCTCCTTACCAAGAATATCCCACTTGAAAACCCGCCTGCAGTAAATTATTTCAAAGAAACCATATACTAATATTAATAATCAATGAGAAGGGAAGGCCATACCAACCTTAATTTGATACAGCAAAGGCTCCAGAGAGAGAGAGAGAGAGAGAGAGAGAGAGCAAAGCACTAATTAAACATTGTAAAATTGAAACTGCACCTTGCATCTTTGAAGAAAACGCCAACAGGCATCTTCCACTTGCTCACTGGTGCACGCAAATCTTGCTCCTCAGCCATGTTTAAGTTGATACTACAAGTTCAAAATGTTTATGATGTTGAAGAATATAAGTCCCACATCGGAAACTTGACTAAATAAAATACAACATATAGTGAATGGTTCCACTACTAG